TCGCCAGATAGGCGCAATGAGAATGTGCCGCCAGTGTCGCATGTGGGGGATCTCAGGGTAAGCACGGAGCTCGAACCTTGCAGGCGGGTTTCTGATAAACAGCAAATATCGATCGATAGGGTCTCTAGTGTGCGGGCAAGTGCTGCCTGTTGGCCAATCTGCAGCAAAGTGCGCACGTTGAGGCATGCCAATCTTAGCGAGACACGAGGACTCCAAAGGGAAACGGATGAACTGACGTTGTCCGCTTGGTTGAACATGGACTTGTCGACTGGATTGGAGCGAGGCCCTGCGATTGTGTGTGATTTGAAATTAGAAGACAAGCGACTATTGAAGTAAGCTGGGGGAGGGCCAAGAATTGAGGGATTGAAAATGGGGGGGATATAAGTAAAGTTGGAGCGGGACAATAAGGATGCAGAAGCACAAGAAGGGGTATAAGAAGACGGGAAGGCCTGAGCAGTAGCATCCAAACCCCTATCCACCCTGCTCGATGCAGCAGATAGGGCGCCGTTTATTATCCTCTGCGACGGCCAGAGCATCAAGAAATTGTTGTAGGAAAGATTCATTGTGGTATGTTGTCTACACAAGGTGTAGGCGCGTTGACCCTGAATGTTTGCTTAGGGCATTAAGGTTTTCAGGTAAGTCCTCCTTTCTCCCCCTCCTTATTATTTATTGCATAGGTCGTCATGGTTGTATGGCAGCGAAGCATCAGTTCAAATGGCTGATGCACTGCTGTTGATGATGATGACAGACGGACGGTCGCGCTTTAAATCCTTCGGTGGTGAGACGGATATCATGGCGGCGCTATAAATGCCTGGGCCTGAAATAGGCGGGATGAGCTCTTGAGATTCGCCTCGAACTCTCGTTTTCAACCGCGCCACTAGTAGTTATGCAACTTCGCAACTAAACAAAATTCTGTACAACTTCTGTCGTCTTACCATCGATGGTGAGTGCAGGTAAAAGCGTATGTGTCTTCAAAAAGCGCTTTACACTTGGATGGTAAAAATTGCATGTCACACTTTGACGCTTCAATCGCCAGGCGATTGAGTGATAGTTGGACTGTCACCCATCAAGACGATATCATCAGCGTAATCCAAATCAACCATCCGACTACCTGGAAGGAGCTTAACGCCAGCGTTCAACAAGTCTTCTAGAGCATTTTTAAGGATATCCTTAATGACAAAGTTCAAGAGGAATGGAGAGTTAGGGCATCCTTATCGAACCCAGCTAGTGACAACAAATGAAGGCTAAAGCTTTGGCATAAGCCCTAACTCTACCCGTGGTCAGACTATACAGAGCACACAGTACGGAAACGTACATCCCGGGAACGCCATTTCTCAACAGACACTGCCACAGTGCAGCCCTGTCGACAGAATAGAAGGCAGCATGGATATCCAGGAACACAACGTTGGCTTTTGATACACATGGCTGCGCTCGAGAATCTGGCAGTGTGAAAATCTGATCGATGCAGTCGCGACCAGGGAGGAACGCAGCTTGTTCTTCTCGCTGTAGTGATTCACGCATTGGGGATAGCCTGCGAATAATGATGGACACCAGGATCTTGCAAACAGCGGGAACCAAACTTATGCCTTTGTACTTGGAGCAATTTGTGCTCAGACCCTTTTTGAAGATGGGGACGACTACCGACTCGCATCAAGATGATATAACCTTTTCTTTTTGCCTAGACTTATTAGAACAAACCTGTAAGATATCGAACCGGCGAATAGCCCCCATCTTTAAATAGAGCAGGAGGTGGGGCCGGGTGCCTTATAATGCTTTTGGCAACGGAGTTCTCACCAGTTTTCGATGAGAGGGAGGGTCATTAGGGATAGTCCCTCAACACCGGTGCGCGCCCCAGGTGAAACAGATGGAGCTGGTGGCCAGGAAAACTGTGAACGAAAATATCCGGCCAATTGCTCCAACCGTCGTTGAAGATTAGTAATTAGGGAGCCATCCTCTTCGCAGATTGTTTCACCTAATCCAGATCGGAGGCCTTCGCTGACTCGGATGGGGTGGAACAGTTTTCTGGTATTACCAGCGAGATTAGCTTCTGTAAGCTCTTACGCAACGCTCGATCCAGCGATCGGCGTTCCTCCTTACAGCTGGCGTCGGCTGGGATCAATCGGCGTCTGCTTATCAGCGACAAAGAGGCACTGGTGATCCAGCTTTTCGACGAGTGACGAGCAAATTCACAAATGACAATACTTGCAGAAATTAGGGCGTCTTTAATGCGCATCCATTGCGAATTCAGACCATCGTCAAAGGATGGAGCAAGCAGCATTGACAAAGATGTCTGGTACTTGGCTAACGTCGTAGAATGTTGCAGATTTTCCACCTCTTGTCGATAGTGCAAACGTCCTCCGAAACTTATGCAGATCTTGGCGCAAACCAGTTTGATCAGTACGATCGGCAGTCTGCTACGTTTCCGCGCCATCTGTAGCTTGTTGCTATGTGATCAAGCTGGGACCACTCTTGCTTTTGAGAAGGCGAACGCCATGTAGCAGTCTGTCTTTTTGAATACCGAAAACGTATGCTTGAAAGAAACAAGCTATTCTCAGAACAAAGAGTCAATAGCCTATCTCTATTGTCTGATCGACTACTACCAAGATCAAAACTACCACCAAGATGGTGCTCGTTTGGTGGCAGGCGGCCCACTCGTGCTTTGAAATTTCCGACAAGAAGGATAATGCCAGACCTTCTTGAGGAACGCAGTTGGCCATTAGTAGTTGGTAAAAGCAGTCCTTGACTGCATCCGGACTGCAGTATGTAGGAGCGTAGGCAAATATGGCAACTAGGGTGCACGTAACATCTCGACACTTACGTAAATTAAATGAACCTCATAGTCTGACTGCACATAGCCGATTGTTGACTGGGATCCAGTCAAACAAAGCGATTTCAGCCCTGTCACTCAGTGCAACTCCAACACCAGCTTGACCAGAAGCGGCGGCCTCTGGGTCTTCAGAAAGAAGCAAGTGCTATTTCACGTCAGGGTTTGCCGGAGAGGTCGCCTTGATGACGGTACTGGCGTCTTACAAACTGGTTTTGCAAAGGCAACAGATGTCCTTCGAGAGTGTCTCAAGGGTGTGGACCAGGCATGTTTGCCGTCCGATCTGCATCATAGTGCGCACATTGAACGCTACAAGGCCGAATGGAGAACCAGAACGAAGGAAAGGTTGGGCTTCGGTAGAGTGTGAAAATCTTGTGACCACCGGGCAACGAACACCAAACATTTGGTTCCGAACTCTGTCAGATGCGACCAGTGAGCTGTTGTTGATGGTGATCGGAGTAGACAGGTACAGTTGAGGAACGGGATGTGGGACGATCTGTGAGAAGATGTTGGGCAGCAGAGACATTTGTGATATCAAGAATAAAAGCAATAGTGCAATCCATCCACGGTTCGTCAGTAGGCATGATACTACCCGGTTGCCCAGGTCGAAGTAGAGGGTTGTCTTAAGGGGCCCCACCTCGTGTCTTTGATCCACTATTTAACCTACAAGGCAGCAGGGTGACATTAGGGTATCACGATCTGTTGGGAGCCGGTGGCCAAATAAGTGGTTCATACACATTTAGGACTGCAAAGGACCAGAGGCCCAACACACCGTTGAATTATAATGCCCCACAGAGAGAGGCAAGGAGCAGTGACTTTGTTTAGTGGCGAGTCACATCCACCACGTCGCTGTGTTGTTAAACGGACATATGGGACTTTTTCTAAGAAGAACGCTTTCAAAGCGCAAGTCCACCACATCCTGGAACACTGCCACCGAACCATTCGCTGGAACGGAATAATCCCGAACCCCCCAGCTGGCACCACGAGTAGGTTGTTCGGCAGGCCAGGGAACCCTGGTGGAAAAAGCTTGGTCATTGCAGCAGTAGATCCAGTGACGTTTTCGGAAGTCACACCGCCCACCTTCGAGATACGTGCTCGTGGTCGAACCCCACTTGACTCCAACCAGGTCGACCCTGGCGTCGTCCTCGACTTTACACTTGGGCGACAACTGGAACGAGGTCTCAAGTAGGGTGTTCCATATGGTTTGGTTAATACGCCGTTCTTACGTTATCTTAGTTTAACATCTTCGTGGAGCTATTCTCAGCTTTTGTTCGCCCCATCTTGAGTATTGCGTCCAGGCTTGCCGGCTCTGCCTCTTCCTGAACAAAATGGAGTTAGCGAGGATTTTCCCAGTGATTCCGAAGTTGATTGAGGAGTTACGGAGGCAAACGTATCCAGAGCGCCTACTTATTTTGGGGTGCATTCAATGAACTATCGAGGAGACCTGATCCTCACTTACCGTATTTTGTCTGGGATGGTTGGTCCTGATATATCTTGACTATTTAGTCTGGTCAGCTTGTCTAGTCTCCGCGCTCATCCCATAAAACTAACAAGCCGCGTTCCTACCGGATCAGATCGGAAACTTGGTTATCACATCGAGTTATCGAGCGCTGGAACTTGCTTACAGGAAATATGGTCAGGTAACCTACGATGAAGGGTTTGGGTGACAGCACGAAACCTTTCCCTCCTCCTGACCATATGCATCTCCATACTTTGATTCTATTTTTTGTTTTATTTCACTCATTTGTGGTTCACTTCATTCAAATGACCTTTCTTCTTTACATTCCATTTTTTTCCTCGATTACTTCACGTGGCTGGCAGAGCAAGCACTGCTAGTGCTGGAAACGTGGACAGTTATTGGTTGACCAGTGTGTGGGTGTTTCGTCTTATATCCATCAAGACCTCAGAGCACCTTATCATTCCCTTATTAATCGATCTGCTCAAGACGGCACACTCAATTGATTCTCCTGTCGTCCTGGTTCCATCTGAACTTGCACATTCTGTTCTCTCCTCACTGAGTTCGTTCCTAACCTTCCTGGTTTTACTGTTCGTTATGTAATAACCGTTGAAGTCTTTTATTTCTTCATTTTTAGCACCGGATTTACTTTTGCCTCTACTAGGAGCGTTGTACGTTACACTACCTACCGCATAGTTGGACGGTCAGGTGCCCCACATCATGCCCCATGTTTTATGTAGTCTCACTGGACTATTCTCTGGTAAGTGCATATTGTCCTTTTTTCATTACAGTATCATCAATCTTTTTGCATTGAAAATTTCCTAACACTTTCTATGCTTTTTGTCTCTACAGTCTATTCTTTAGTGGCGCATGTTTATTTCACTGATATGTGGAGATCAGAAGCTAAATCACTTTGCTGCTCTATGAATTCCAATTCATTATAGGATCGACACTTGTCGTTGCATTATGTCCCACAGCCGCTAATCCCAGTTGTAACGAAATGAGCAAGATTCCAGCGTCTTCATCAAACAAACGAAGAGACAATCCCTCAACGGCTGGTTGATAGTTTGCTGCGGTGAGCTGTTCCATTCATTCATCACCCTGATAGCGTCGTGTCAAGCTGTCAGCTTTAAGTCAAAAGGACTGATGTTAGTCATCTTCACTTTCCCTTAGAGTGCGTCCCCTATCAGCACCACCCGCAGACCGCTGTGGACTAAAATCGACCGACATGTTTGGAAAAGGTGATAAAAAATAGACATTAAAAACACTAAACATTAAATACATGTAATACTACCATAGTGCAAGTCTTTCCTTTTGCTAATGATTCGTTTACATTTGTGTAAACATACCCCTTTCGTACCTTCAGACTGTCAACTGTCGTGCCCATCTTCAAGTAAGGTCAACGCACATTGTGCGAAAATCATCAAGGCATTAGCCTTATTTTCATTGCCCCCACACTTCTCAATGGTATCATTCTTCGACGATTTACTGGTCCTCTCGAGAACCGAATCACTAAAAGTCAGGCTGGCTTCCACTCTGGTTGTGGTTGCATTGACCATGTGTTAGAGCAGGGACATTTACTCACAACTGACTATAATAGTTTTCCTCGACTTGGAAGCCGCCTTCGATTCTCTTGACCGCGCCACCTTGTGGCACTGCCTATTCATGAAGGGCATGCCAGATAAACTCCTATCCATCTTTAACTCCCTCTACCGTGACTCCCGAGGGCGTGTAAAGGTCTATATGAATCTGTCCCTTGAGTTCATGACGACAAGTGGGGTTCGCCAGTATTGTCCTATGTCTCCTTTTCTCTCCAACTTTGTGATCGTAATGATCATGAATGACGGTTCTTTTATAACCTACCGGCGTGGAAGTACTGCAAGGTGACAGACTATCAAACCCTGAGTAATCAGACGACATAGCTCTCCTTGCGTGTGACGCACTGGCTATGCGAACACTATTGGGTAGACTGGTGATTACCGCTGCACGCTCCGGCATTTACTTCGCACCTTCAAAGTGCAAACTACTGTTGCAGCACTGGACCGATACTCCACCGGTTTTAGCAACCACTGAACAGTCACTGAAACTAATTGATCGGTTTACTTAACTTGGTAGCTATGTCACCTCTGGTGGTCACATCAGCAGGGCACGTGTGGTTTTCCAGTGGTTCAACCATCTATGGGAACAGCAGGATATCAGCCGGTCAGTGAAAGGTAGGGTGTATAACGCTACGATAAAACTGATGTTACTGTATAGCTCAGAGACATGGCCGGTTCGCATCGAAGTCATTTAATACTTGGCCATGTTTAGCCACCCGTGCTTGCGGAGTATTGCTCACACATGCTGTGAACACCGGGTCAGCAATGCTGTGTTTCCACCGATTGGTTTTTGGCAAAAGCTTTATGGTGCCTCACTCAAGTGTTTAATGAATCTTAACTGCTTACCTCGGCCATGTCCTCCGTATGCCCGTTGACCAACTTTTTCGAAGTGCATTATACGCCTTGGCTGCACCAAGTTGGGCGAAAATGCGAGGTGGCCAGTCCATGTTCCGACACAAAGTTTTGAAGAAATTGTCTGAGAGATTTGGTCAGGCTGGTGCATGCCGTCTTCGTTAATGGGGACCCTGCGATATTCCACACCAATGTTCGAAGACCCTTTCAGACATGGCGCAGTCGCGCAGTCAGTAGCATTCCTACCTTCTGTTTCTTACATCTGGCTAATGATTTTCATTCTGCCCTGATTAGGTAAACGCACCTCCTTGCTGGATTCCATTTTCTTTCCATTCCATTCGCATTTAACCTCATTTTATCGCTCTTGTTATCTATTTTTCATCTTCCGATGTGAGTCGTGGCAACTGGATTCACCGCACTTCGGTGCTCGGATCACAGTTGTTCAACTAACCGGAACTTCGTGTACCTGCTTTCATATTTTTCCTTTACATTAGCATGTAAATGATATTCATCATCATCAACAACAGTACATCAGCCACTTGAACTAATGCTTCGCTGCCGTACAATCATGAGGACCTATGAAATAAACAATAAGAAGGGGGAGAGAAAGGGACTTACCTGAAAACCTTAATGCCCTAAGCAAACATTCAGGGTCAAGGCGCCTACACCTTGTGTAGACAACATACCGTCACCAACAGCTGACTATCGTGCAAGGATAAGGCGGTATCGGCAAGACAGCTTCCTTGCGGCTTTCACTGCCCCGCGTCATAATCAGCCATTGCCCCGCAGATAACTCAGCACCAAACACACTTTAAACAAGCAATCCGGCTAGGAGAGGGCGGCAGACGCGGCACTGATGTTTGCGAGCCATGTCTTGCGCAGTCTCGAGCCAAACACAAGGAGAGTCACGTGGACTCCAGCCCGGAAGGCGAGACGGATCAACGGCACCCAGTTTGGTCGTCATTGACTTCATTTCTCGTTGCTAAGTCAACTTCTGTCCAACTCGAACTTTGCGCCACCCTAAATTTGGTAGACTGAACAAGACCCTCCTAGGTAAGCACTGGCCAGGCATATGTGGCACGTGCCAGAGGCAACGCAACTTATTCAGTGCTATCTGTTCTAGAGAGCTAGCATGATTATCATTACATAGTACTCGCCTACGCACATCATCGTTGCGGACATGGTGCCATCCGACATTAGCAATGCTTCGCAGACAACAATGATCACAGACTTGAAGGCGCCTCAGATCTTCAGACCGAAGGGGCCCAGTTTCACTATCATAGAACAGAACGGCCCTCACTGTGGTCTTGTATACACGGCCTTCCAGACGGAAGGAAATTCTCTTCTGTCGCCAAGCATGCCGCAGGTTCAAGTAGGCAGCTTTAGCCTTTGCAATGTGTGAGCTGACGTCAGTTTCTACGTGCCCGTCATTGCTGATGCAGCTGCCAAGATAAGTGATTTGATCAACCACCTCGAGTTCCTCGTTAGCAAGGGTCAATGGGTCGTAAAGCTGCTGTTAGTCCTGCAGCCACAATTTGCACTTCGAAGGTGCGAAGTGCATACCAAATAATGGGACCACTATTTGGGGTTGATTATGACGCCGCAACATCGTCGAAAAGCAAGACGATATCGTCCGCATAATCAAGGTCAACTAATTTTTCACCAGGCGGCACTTCAACGCATACATCGTAAGCTTCCGCAAGGGAAACTTCATGATGGCATCTACGACGAAATTGAACAAAAATGGGGAAATCGGACAACCCTGACGAACGCTACTTGTGGTCGGAAAGCTATCAGGTAGGCCACCGTAGACTCTGACGCGGTCTGTAGTGATTCAGTATAGAGCACGAAGGGTGTTCACGTATTTCGTGAGAACACCTTTCCGCGCAAATATTTTGCACAGAATGCATCGATCGACTGAATCGAATGCACTCTTGAAATCGAGGAACACAGCTATTGTCGGTCTGCTGTGTGCGTGGCGCTGCTCTAGCACTTGCCGCAAAGTGAATATATGGTCTATACAGCTACGTCCTGGGCGAAAACCGGTCTGCTCTTCCCTAATCCGCGATTTACGTTCTACAGTGAGGCGACGAACGAGAATGAACGCCAGTACTTTTGTCGCAATTTGCGTTAGGCTAATACCCCTGTGATTAGAACAGTCTGTGCGACTGCCTTTCTTGTATATTGCCACTATAATCGATTCGCTCCAATTAGCCGTGACACTTATTTCCTTCCAGATACGTTCGAATGGGGAGGTCAGTGCTTTGCAGAGGACCTCACCTCCATCCTTAAACAGTGCAGGTGGGAGGGAGGAAAACGATTAAGGACTGTGATCGCATTTCGGGCCCGGGCCTCCGACGGAGGCTCTAAACTAACCGTCCATGGCTCGTTCTGCATCACCTGAGTAGGAAGAGGTCCGGGAGCAGGGGGCCAGCTGAGCTATATGGCGCTCCTTATTGTGTATCAGCGCACCCGCGTTGTCTCTGATTGTCTCACTGACGCCTGGTTTTTTGGGACCAGTGGTGCGGATTAACTGGAAGAGCTTGCGGTAATTGTCCACTGCTCCTGCCTTTTCCATTTCTTGAGCCCGACTGGTCCACCAGGCTTCCTTGACAACACTTAGGCTCTGCTTTAGTTCACGCCTAATAGCCCGTCTGATCACATTGTGTTCAGAGCCAGCCGGGAGGTGTCTTCTAGATTCCAACAGGTTCACCGACCTCTCGGATATCCAGTGACTGGTGCGGTGATGATGGATAGTGCCAAAAGCAGATGCTCCTGCGTCGTGCATGGCAGCCGAGATCCCATTCTACTGAAGCTCAGTGTCAGTAGAACAAGACAGCGGAAGTTCGGTACGCCGTGCGTCTTGATAGGCTTGCCTGACCGAGGACAGATAATTTGTCAGTTGCCAGTTGGAGGGGACGCTTTGTGCGCCTTCCGGTAAAGTTCATGGAGAAACGACAGCGTACCAGGGCATGATCAGAGTCGACCAGGTACTTCAGAACGAGTGGCAATCCAGGATGGGACCACGCCAGCTGTAACTTAACTATGTGGTCACTTTGGGTCCATCGCTGACCAGCTACAGGTGGACGCCAATTGGCATTTCGGCGCCCACTGTGTCTAAAAGCAGTGCTACTAAGAAACATATGGTGCTCCGCACACAGTTGCAGCAGACGCTCACCGTTGTCAGTCCGTTCGGAGTTAAGCCCATAATTACCACCCAGCTGAGCTTCTGAAGAGTTCTGACTCCCTACCTGTGCGTTCATATCTCCTGCACGTAGTATGATATTTGAACTAGTAGCACTGCGTAGTA